GGCTTCTCGTCCATCAATTCGCCCTTGGCATATCTATGGAAACTATGCCGCATCTATGTGCTCCGTCCCGAGGTCATTTTCTGTGGCATCATTCTGTTTGTCTTGTTAATCTATTTGCAAGCGGTCGATGTATGGAGTCGCAGCATATTGGGCCGCATTCAGGCCACGCTCGGTAGGCAGAAGACGCCACGCGTCCAAGAGATGACAAGCGGTGCCGGGGATCATCAGAGCTGGGAGGAGGTGCGTCAACAGAGTGCTGCCTTCGCTGTGCTGGGTAGAAGACCTCACATGGAGGACAGGTAAGGGGAGGAGAGGTCACAAAGAAAGTCGTTTTTTATATGCATATGCCCTTGCCTACAGATTCATCATTGAGGAGAACATCAACAACAACACGGGAATTTCGTTCTTTGCCGTTTTCGATGGCCATGGCGGCGAGTTCGCTGCCAACTTTGCACGCGATGTGCTGGTCAAGAATATCTACAACAAAATCATTGATATTAACCAGATCCTGAAGAGCGAGAGCTCGCCAGAGTACAGTGGATACGACAAGAGTCCGTATCTGGCACGCAAACAGAGCCGCAAAGATGTCACCAACAAAGAGAATGCCGATCCCGTGGCCAGACGCGACAGTTTGCGTAAGGCGCACAGCACCACAGCGGATTGCAGCGCAATTAAGCAAAAGACAACGGAGGCAACTGTCGCCGACATTTATACAGCGCAGCTGAACAGCGCGATGCGCGCCAGCGGCAACAGTGCGGCAAAAGATTCATTTCTGAATAATAACAATGCACAAAATTCTGGCAACGCGCCGCCGCCGAGCTACGACGCCAAATGCTACATCGAGCATGGACGCATCAATTTTGGCAAGCTGATCACGGACGAGATACTGGCCGCGGATCACAAGCTGGTCGAGCAGGCCAAGCTCGCAGTGAGTGGGCCAGCCCCAATTAACCACCTTAGTTATCTATCTCAAGTGATTCACATTTCACTTCCTTTTTTGCAGACCAACATTGCGGGCACAACCGCTTTGATTGCCATCGTTAAGGACAGCAAATTGATTGTGGCAAATGTGGGTGATTCGCGTGGCGTGATGTTTGATGCACGCGGCATTGCCATACCATTGTCCTTCGACCATAAGCCGCAGCAGGTGCGCGAGCGTAAACGCATTCACGATGCCGGTGGCTTCATAGCTTTTCGCGGCGTTTGGCGCGTGGCTGGGGTCTTGGCCACGTCACGAGCGATGGGTGATTATCCCCTCAAAGATAAGGTATGTCGATGCTGCATGCTCTATATAGATGGCGTGATGGGAATTTCTCACGTCACGTTTTATAGCCTATACATATGTATATATATGCATATATAATTCTCAATTGCTAATCAGCCTACACTTTATATTATTCTATCCCATACAGAATCTAGTCATAGCTACACCAGACATCTTGACCTTCGAGTTAAACGACCACAAGTGAGTGCAGCTGCTTGCCAAGTTAATGAACTCTTCCTTCTATTAAGTGCGTCATTTATTTTCATTATTTTCATTTCGACGGAATGCCAGGCCCCGTTTTTTAATACTCGCATCGGACGGCCTTTGGGATACATTTAGCAACGAGGAAGCCTGCAGCTTTGTGCAGGATCATCTCAAGGAACCAGACTTTGGTGCCAAATCGCTGGCCATGGAATCATATAAGCGCGGCTCTGTGGACAACATCACCGTCTTGGTCATTGTGTTTAAGAACGACGTCTACAAAATTGTCAGCTCGTCGGCTGGCGGCAAAGTAGGCGATGCAGCCTTAGCCAAAGCTCCAGCTGCTGCTGCAGCGGCTGTCGAACGCTCCAATTCAATCAAAACCAAGTAACAGAAGGGAGACTCTTCTGTACCATTTCAATAGCAACCTTATAAAGTGCCCAAACAGATTTATATACTATAATATAAGCATTCGCGATGCTTTTTTGCCTCGTCGCCACTGCGATTCTCGTTTTTCTCCCAACAAGGCGGCATTTTCTTTGGTTTCGATTTAGGATTTAAAGAATTTTTAGAAAAAAAAAAAATACTGTTGTTTTATACGAAATGTTTAGACAAATATCACTATCACTGCACTTTGTTACTCCCCCCACCACCTCCAGCTCTCATCGCATTCATCACCATGAATCTCATTAATATTTATTTAAATTATTTTGTTATACGTAAAACTTGTGTTTGTCAAACGAAAGGGAAAAAACGAAAAAAAAAAATAAAATACTCAAAAAATGTAACGAAGATTGGCAATGAAATTGAATTTGTATGCCTTTAAAATGCTTTAATGTTGAATAAAGTATTTTTTGCAACTTTGAATAAATTTGGAGCCTATATTGACATATATATTTGTATATCATAAATGATAATCATAAATAGGTAAGGGGCCATGTTGGTAAAAAAATAAAATAAAATATTTTTGCCTTACATAATTAATATCCTGATTAATTAAATTAATTTTTCATGCCTTTGAAAAATGTTTTAATGTCGATTGTTTTTTTGTTTGAATCTTTGAATAAATATATTCTGAACCTATATTTGCATATATGTATGTTATATATATATATGTGTATATAACTCATAAAACAATACAAATGCATTTTCTCTAAAAGAAAACACAAATATACAAATCCACATTAATTTACGACAGTTCCAATCAATTGATAATTGTGTATATAATTCATAAATCAAAAATCATAGATTCATAATCTGTACCCATATTAATCTACAATTCTACAAATTTAATGTTTGTCGTTTTATATTTATTGTTGTTTTGGCATAAACAAATCAATTTGCCACCGATTCATACGAGCTATGTCTAAACATATAAGATTAGATTAGTGCGCTGATACAGACACTTGCCAGACGCGGATGGTGTTGTCCGAGTAGCCGGCGAACAGGGTCTGGCCGTCGGTGGACCAGGCCAGGGAGAGGCACTGTGGCTGCTCGGCCTTGGATGTGGGCGAGACGACCTCAGGGCGCAGCTCCTCAACGGTCTTCTTGCATGCCAGATCCCAGATCTTGATGGATGGGCCATAGGCGACGCACAGCCAGTAGCGGTTGGGCGAGAAGCACAGGGCATTGATGATGTCGTTGTGCTCCAGAGTGTACAGATTCTTGCCGTCATTCAGATCCCACAGCAGAGCCTTGGAGTCCTTGCCACCGGAGGTGCACAAAGAGCCATCGGGCGAAACGGTCACGGTGTTCAGGTAACCATTGTGACCGTGATGGTTGTTCTTCAACTTGCAGTTGGCCAAATTCCAGACCTTGACGGTACGATCCCAGCCGCATGACACGATGATGGGATTGGAGTGGTTGGGCGAGAAACGCACACACGACACCCAATCAGTGTGGCCATCCTCCTGGATGGTGAACTTGCACTCAGCCAGAGTGTTCCACAGCTTGATGGTCTTGTCCCGAGAACCAGACACGATCTGACGGTTGTCAGCCGAGAAGGCAACCGAGAGCACATCCTACAATCGAAGAACAAACAGTTTATTAGCTGGCGAATCTTTAGGTTTATGTGGATAATTAGAAGAGTAGCGGATTTAAAGATCTTGTTGCCTACTTACGGAAGAGCTTCACGCAAAAGTGTGTCGACTCAGGCGTAGAACTTTACAGATGTCAACCAGATTAATTCTGCCTCGCATAGGCGCAATATTTTCTTTTTTTTTATATACATTTAAATGTATATTGGTATTGGTGTGCTAGCTAAGCCTAACCTTATGATATGGGGACATGGGTACACCAATACCATTGGGGAGTTGAGATTTACACAAGCAGCGTAGGCTGCAGCAATTCTAGGCCCTATTCAAAAACCATTCGGTAAACCAATTGGAAACTTATCCCACCTTGGTGTGTCCCTCGAAGCGGCGAGTGGTCTTGCCGGCAGCCAAATCCCACAGGCGCAGAGTCTGATCCCATGAGCCGGACAAAGCGTAGTTGCCATCGGACGAAAGCACAACATCGCTGATGAAGTGCGAGTGACCGTAGAGACGCTTCTGGGGATAGCCGTAGTTGGTATCCTCATCGCGGGTCAACTTCCAGACAATCAAGGTCTTGTCTGTTTAAACGTAAATACATTATTTATCATATCAATTCAAATCTAAAAATTATGCCGGGATGTTGCAGTTATTGGAGGATTCCACCGACGCCAACCTAACCTCAACAACTGTTAGTTATACTTGCCACGAGATGCCGAAATAATGGTATCGGGATCCTTGGGGTTGGTAGCGATCTGGGTGACCCAGCCATTGTGGCCGATCAGCGTACCACGCAATTGCAATGTCTCAGACATGTTGAAATATTACTTATAAAATTGCAACGGGAGCGCTTTTGACACACGTCCAAAGGCGCTGCAGGCTGGCAGAAAAAGAGGCGGAAGTGGCTAGTGCTGTAAAACAATAACAATCACGGGTAGTGCTGCCAACGTGTGCTATTGAATACGATGAAACGTTACATCTACAACTTCATGTTTTTGGTATTACCATCATTTTTAGAATACAGCCACACTATTTGACATCTCAGGTCAAAGTAGCCCTTAGACCGAAATATAAATACACCAACACGCAAAATGAGTTTAGCACAACAAGAAACTGCTGGCATTAATCCACGTAATCCCCATGGACTTGGTAAACCAAACAATATTAAATTAATTACAACATTTTAAGTGTAAAGCCGCTTGCAGGTGATCCGAATGACACAACGTTGCGCAAGGTAGAAGTAGAGGTGTTAATACCAAAAATTATGAGAGATCGCGCGCGGAGCGAACTGTGTCCCAAAGAAGTCGCGGACTTTGAAGAATGCTGTAAGGCCAGCAGCATATTCATGGTGGCCACCTGTCGCAAGCAAAACTCTGCGCTCATGGACTGTCTCTCCCACTGGTATAAAAACGAAGCCTTCAAAGAGGAATGCAAGGCCATCTACCTAAAGGAGCGGGCGGAATATCGGAGCACGGGCATACCCAAAAAGCATCGCGTGGAGAAAATCTAGTTTACTCTTGTTATTATTTCTGTTTAATTTGCACAAAAGATGTGTAGTTAAAACGCCGTATCACAGTCTCGTCAATGGTCAGGGACTCCAGTGCCGCCGGTGTGGCCAACGCAGGATCGAAGTCTTTCTGCTCGTTCACTCTCAGAATGAGCACATCTTTGTCCGATGTTTCAGCTACACGTTGAGCTCCCTTCAAATTCTTGCTAACATAATGCGGGTGATTAATAACGTCTGAAGTGTGCACCAGTACCAAAAAACTGGCATGAAATTGTCGCGGACCTTCTTTGTAGATGACTGTGGGAAGGTGATTAAAAATTAACAGCTGCCCTCATGTCTATAAATTATCGGAAAAGTACTTACGAAAATCACCACCGAACTTAATGCCGCTCTTAATTATCCAATTCTTTGATTTTAGATACAAATATGCAGCCAGCTTATAGACAAATTCTTTGTCATATTCCAGTGCTGCTTGTACGTACGCTTGCCAAGCAATCTCTTTGTTCGATGTGTCTTTTATCTCCAGTATGTTTAAATAGTAGGCCAACACACAAGCCTCCTCCAGTCCAAGTAGAAGCGATTCGTCGGACTCTCCAGAAATTGGGCCGCCGCGTGAATTGCTTCCTTTGCCATAGCAGCCATTATCGTGTAGGGTCTTTATTAAATTCTGTTCTGTATTAAATACTTCTACACAGAGTCCATTGAAAACACCTTGGTAGCGTAGTCCGTTGGAGTTTGGGGGAAAGGGCGCTAATTTAATAAAGTCTTTGCAATTGCCTCGCTTGCGTTTGAAATGCGGAGTGAATTCCATAATTTAGCGAACTGTTTGTAGTCGAATGGCAACAATTTGATGTGGCTCAAAACTATTTGCTGTTGTGCTTGTAATAAAGTAGTTAACAGCTAAATAGAATTTTATATCAATTGGAAAGACATAAAATACAACTATAAATGTTTAATAAAACATATTTTGATTATTTATGTTATTCGCCGCAAAACTGTTTATGTGTGGCCGCAGCTTAAGATTTGCCATTCTCATTATAAATTGCTAACACAGTGCAATGCATGCGAGGTGGCAACGCTTTAGCACGGCGAACACGGCGAATAAGTCACAAGACCAGTCAGCTGAATTTCGGTGCTGTCGCATTAGTGTGAAAAGACACTCGTAATTTAAATATATTTTTTCCTAGATTTTTCGATTGAAATTGTGTGCAAACGCGCGCAACACTACAAATATATCACATCACCCTCGACACGCCAAAAAACAGTCAACAAAATGACAACCGCGCTGTATCTGCCCGAGGATAACATTGGTAAGTGCCAGCAACAGCAGCAGCTGACCTCTGTGAAAAATCGAAGTGCTGCTGCCCCGTGCAGCAGTCAGCCACCCCCTGCCCGAATGTGTGTCAGAAAAATGGTTAACTGTGAATGCGCATTTGCATTTTGCAGATATGATTGCTGCCACTTCGGTGCTGCAGCAACAGGCGGCCGATATACGCACCAAGACCATCAACTGGGCCTCGTACATGCAGTCGCAAATGATCAGCCAGGAGGACTATCAGACGATTAGCGCATTGGATAAATCGCGCGCCACCTTTCTGGCCCAAAACTCGACGCAGGTGGTGAAGACGATGCTGAATCTGGTCTCGCACCTGTCCAAGGACTCGACCATTCAGTATATACTCGTGCTGCTCGACGATCTGCTTCAGGAGGATCGCTCGCGTGTCGATCAATTCCACGAAACATCCGCCAAGATGAAGCAGTGCATCTGGGGTCCATTCCTCAACTTGCTGAATCGCCAGGATGGCTTCATTGTTAACATGTCGTCGCGCATCTTGGCCAAGTTCGCTTGCTGGGGCCATGAGACAATGCCCAAGTCGGACCTCAACTTCTACTTGCAGTTCCTCAAGGATCAGTTGGCCAGCAATGTAAGTAGATCAAAGCACAAGCGTCAAGCCCATGCATGACCCAGGTCAACTACCCCTCCCCCCTTCCCACGTTTGCATGTTTATGTTGTACATAGAAATTTAGTTCAGGTACACTATAAATATATTTGTAGCATGCAGCATGCAGCATGAAAATCTATCGATTTTAAGTAATATAGTTACATATATTGATTTTGAACGATTCCAACTACATATGTATATAAACTTAGTGTAGAGAAATATCGATTGCATGCAACGAAAATTTTGGCGATTTTATAATGATATATGGTAAACGAATGAGTCTATTAGTATGCATTCATTGATTTAAGTTTATTAAGAAATATGCATCATCTCAAATTCACTTTTTAAGAAGTCTACAAATTTATAATTACAACTGGGCGATAGTTTAAATATTATTTTATTTTTTTATTGGTATCAATTTAATTTCAAGAACTTTCTATATACAAAACAATAATACATAATAACTAAAAATAAATGTTGGGCATTACAAAATTCTTATAAGTATCTTGGAATATTGAGGTCAACTGATTAAGAAGCTGTTTGTATTAGTGTATGTTCAAATTAAGGAGGTTTTACTGTAGTTTTGCAATGTTATTAGCCCTTTATATTATTTGGCTGAAATCCAGTTCAACATCGAGACGAAATACTTCACAATTTCCACATTTCCTTGTGTCTACGTTTCTTTTTTGATTCTTAATGTGTCCTACATTTTCCTACCACACAATTGGTATATATTCTTTAGATTCTAAATATCTACAAAATGTTGGCAAATATGCTATAATATTAAGCATTTTGTTTGCTCGCAACTAACCGTAAAATATAAAACTGCACGCTTTTAGTTAGTTTTGCTTGTTCGACAATTTGTACTAAAATCATCAAACCAAAAAAGTGAGAAAACTCTAAAAATGAGACATGAATTAAGCATTAGCCAGGTTTTTGGCCAACTTTTAGGCTTGCGTATATCAAATTGTCTTTTATTTGTAATGAAACTTTGGCTGTCTGTGAGCGTGATTAAGGTATGCTATTCGTGTTTCGTGTACACGATTTTTTTTTTATTTTGGCATCTAAATTCATTGAATCACGCACCTGAAAAAAAAAAATACAAATAAAAAAAACAAATAAAAAACAAAATTCGAAGTATATGATAAAGATGTTCGTATAACCGTTTCGACAAGCAAAAAAAATAAATTATGCTCAATCGATCATCGCACCGCATCGCATTTGATTGGGTGTGCCGTGGAGAACTGAAAGAACATCAGCACCACCCGCACCACCACCTGCACCATCTGCACCAAACAAACCAAATCAAATAAATAATAATA